ACCTACCGGGTGACGCCCAGTCCCAGATCCGCTCGCGGTGCAGCGTCATGAAGCGCTTGTCGTCCTGGCGCTGGAGGAACCATCGCGGCCGACTGGGCCACAGCGTCCCGTGGCCCCGCGAGAGCTCGTCGATGATGCCCTTGCGCACGACCTCGCGCGCTTCTTCCTCCGTCATCTCCTCCGTCCATGTCCCCGGTTCGCCCGCTTTTACGACGCTCTTGTACGACACCCGTGGCGTGACTGTGTCCTCCTCGCCGGCCCTGTCCCGCGAGAAGCTGCTGCCCCACATGCCCAAGATGTCCTGCAGCTGCGTCTTGCGGTACTTCCAGTCGTTGCCGTGGTTGAGACGCTGGTTGATGATGGGGAGGTTCGCGACACACCTGGCAAGCTTGACGCCGATGCGGTAGCCGAGGGACCAGAGGAGCTCCTTTGTCAGCGTGCGCGTCAGGTCGATCTCGCCCACCTTTGCGAAAGCCGAGGGCCATTCCCACGTGACGAATGGGTTTGGAACGTTCAGGCGGTGGTATAAGATCTTGTTGTAGTCTGTTTCTTGGGCCCAGTCTGTGCCTATGTCCCAGTTCATGCGGTGTTCTGGGTGCCAGTCATTTTTGGGTCGGCTGATCGAGACCTCGCCGATTTCTGAGCGTTCGTACCTAAGAAGTTTCGGTCTCTTAGTATCATGTCTCTCCATGCCTTCAAACGAGGTGAGCTGAACTTACGTGAGTCTTCCATATTCGGCCAGCACCTTACTGTACTTATTTACTAAATCTTCGGTGAAGTAATAATCGCCCGTTCGGATCCCAGCATTAAGAGCCCCGGCAACCTGCTGCAGCGTATTCTTGCGATCTTGCGCCGCAAAGAGACACACTTGGCTCGTCTCGTCCAGCAACGTCTGCATCCGCGCGACAAACACGTCAAAGTCGCGCCCCAGCTTCGGGAGCACCAACAGCTGAGCCTTGGCCGTCGTGGAGGGCCCACAGACGAACTCCAGCCAACTCCCCTCCCAATGTTGGAGGGGGCGGCAGTGTCCGCCGTTCTTCTCCCGATGCGCGGCGAGGACCTCCTCCATGTCCCACGAGGGCGCCCCCTGGAACCCGTACTCGATGTTCTTGATCACGCCCTCGAGCATCATCCGCGGGTCTTTATTGTTTGCCCTCGTCAGCTTCTCGCGGAGGGTGCGCAGGTGATGAAAATCAGTCATTACCACCCTCTCGCTCTTCCTCATGAAGTTCCAGGGTGTGACGGGACCGTACAGCTGCTCGGGGAGCTTCACGGAGTCCTTGTCGATCTCCATATCCTCCAGCATCTTCTCGTGGGTACGCACCGTCTGTTTCCACAACGTATACGCGCGGTCGCGGTGGGCCGCCTGCATCTGGTTATGCCAGTACGTGATACCGAGCGGGTCAAGCTTCGTCCCCGGCGGCGGCGCCTTGACGGAGTGAGGCTTGTACACAATATCCCGCTTCGCATCAGCCAGCGCAGCCGCCTTCTCCCTCTTGGTGAGCGGCAGCACCAGTTTCCGAAAGGGGCTCGCGAGCGCCACGTTCTCCTCGCTATTGAAATGCGAGAGACACTGCTGCAGCGCCGCGCGCTTCGCTCCTCGAAAACGGGCAAAGCGCTGCTGCGTCTCGCCCTCGGGGTAGAATTTCTGCAACTTGCGCGTCTTGCCCTCGTACTCGTACGTGTTGACCTCGCCGCCGACGTACTCGTCCATGAGGAGGTAAAAGTTGGCCTCGCCGTGGAGCTCGTCCGAGGTCGTCTCGGGCCCTCCCTTCATGCACTTGCCGAACCACTCGTCTTCCGTGACCGCCATGTTGAAGTCTGGCTGGTATCCGAACCTCTGTCCGCGGTCTCCCGAGCCGGGCGTCTCGTCGCTGTTCGGGTCCGCCGCCCACACGAGGTTGCCGTCCTCGCGGAACCACTTGAGAAACGCCATCCGCAGCAGCGGTCCGGGGATCTGGTAGTCGACGTCCTGGACGGACTCGGGCACGCGGTGCAGGAGGTAGCGAGGCCGCACGGGATCCCTGGCCCTCTTCTCGACGACGATATCGCGCCCGTCGAGCAGGGGCGGCAGCCGCGTGCTGACGGAGCTCATTTTGGGGAAATCGATGACGAGCTTCTTCTTGCCGTAGTGGTGCTCTTCGAAGAGCGCGTGAGTGCGCAGCATGGCAATCGCCTCGCGGACGTCAACGTACCAGTCCTTTTCGGTGACGCCATCCATGCGGATGCAGTGTTGCAGGAACTCGCCAATCTCGGCAAACTTGCGCTCCCAGCCGAGCGTGCGGTCAATGTCCTCGTCTGCGAGGAAGTTTTTGATGCGGACGAGCTGGAGTTTGGGCGCGTGGACGCGCCAGCCCTTGTAGTCGATCATGCGTAGGTCCTCTTCCGTGGTGGCGGGGTCTTGCCTGAACCAGTTGATGAGCCACTGGCTGTCGTAGGGTTTGCTGCGGAGGTCTTCAGAGGTCTCGCCGTCGTTTCTGGTGGCGGTGGCAGCAGTACTATCGGCATCTTCGGGTTCGGTGTCGATCATATCGACGTCGGAGGCCTCTGATGCGGTGCTAGGCGATGTGGATTCGGAAACATAGATTTCTCGAGCGGGTGTGAAGATGCGAGGGGGTTGTGTCGACGGCGGTGCGAGGGCAGATTTTCTCACGAGATGACTGCCGCTTCCAGATCGATTTGCGGGTATCTGATGCGGGGTGGATGATGATGTGTCAGTGACAGTGATATAGGGGGCAGTCGTTTCATCGCGCGGAGGCGTTCTCCTGCTGTCGAGAACGAAAGGAGGTATCACGGGACCGTGGGGCTTTGGAGGCGACTCAGTGACTCCTGAGAAGCGAACAGAAGTTCGTCCGTCTTCATCGCCTCCAGGCATTCGTTCGGTGGTAGTCGGACGGCTTGTCTTGGGTGGCTGACCTCTCTGCGTCAGCTTCATTCTCAAAGGCAACTCCTTTGGTCTATCCGACTTACGCGTAACCGTGAACCTTTTCGGTCATTATCTTTCTGACTGCTTCGAGAACCCTCGCCTCGAGTAGATGTTACTGTCTTTGATTTAGACTTTGTCCGAGTCCGAATAGTCGTGGCCAAGGCAGCTAACGCACTCGGGGGCATCCTTTCACCCTCTGAATTTTCTCCTTCCCCTTCCTGAGCCGAGCCATACTCGCTATCTTCCTCCTCGTCTTCCTCTTCATCATCCTCGTCGTCTGGTGCAGAGTTTCGTTCAGGATGCTTGTACTTCTTCGACCTCCTGATGAATTGGTTGCTGCTGTAATAAGGGTCAAAGGTTTGCGGCCACTTCCAGTTGCCAGGGTTTTCGCGAGCACGCCACTCCGTCGTGAAGGGGTTCCCGGGTGCCTCTCCGCCCTCGGCAGGGGCTCGTGGTACTGTCTCAGGCTGGACCGGCTCTTCGTCGACAAGGAGGCTCGACTGACCTGCGTACGTCGAAGGACCGTAGGTGCCTTGGGGTCCGTCTAGATACCCAGTGGGATCCGGGCCGCCAATGCCCTCTCTCTCTTCTCCTGTACCATAAGCGGGACGGCCCTCGCCTTCCATAAAGCCAAACTCGGTTCTCATCTTTGCTGCGACGGCTTCGATCTCGGCCCGGGAGAAGTTGGCGCCCTCAAAGCCCAGGGCCTTGGCCCACCTATCGAGATCGTCGCCGCCTTCGACAATCTTCCTGAGCATGAGATCTCTCTGCCGGTCTTCTGATCCTCGGCTGTCTTCTTCGGCTGCCTTGGCTTGCGCGGCGAGATCCTCGACGCCCTGTTCTTGGGCCAGACCCCAACGAGCGCCTCCGAGGTCTGCATCTTGAAGCCACTCGTAGCGTTGACCGTACAGACTTGCCATGAGCCCACGGAAGTCCACATTGCTATGAAGAATCGCATCGATCTTGCGTGTGGAGATGAGCGTCTCGATGTGTTCAAAGAGGCGATGGGGCTCTGGGTTTTCGAGTGCGAGCCGTGTAGCTTCCCACGTATCCGAAGGGAACCTGTGATATTGCCTCCTGACCATATCGGCCAGTTCAGCTACATTATGGTTAGATTGCGGACAGTATGATGCTGGCATAGGGTAACACTTACGCATCCTTGCTTGCGCCATCCTGGCTGCCGTTGCTTGTGGTCACTCAGCGCGCGATTGTCAGACTTATCGAAACAACAACGGTAAAGGTAAGGGAACAACAACCCAGGATGAGGGGCAACTAGAACGCCGGTTCTGAAGAGAAAAAAGCCCAAGCTCCCAGGTAAATAAGAGCTGTGACGTTGAACGCAACTATTTGAGAAGAATGGTCACCTTGCACAAGACAGAGACATTGGGGAGAAAAACCTGACAAAAGGAACGAAGAAGTTTGAGAAAGCAGAAAGTTGAAGGGGGACTCAAGTTTCCACCCAGACATGCGAAACACTTCCATTTTACGATTTCCAAAGAGTCTGATGGATTTCCTCAATGACTTACCCCGTCGCATTGTGGCTGACCCAAAGAGCGCATCACAAGGAGGCATTGCGGGCTTTCCATGCGGCCACAAAGATATCTAACAGCGACAACAAAGAAAGGCAACCTACAGAGGGAGGAAAGGGATAAATGGTCAATGTTTCAACAATGCATTCGGGACGTGATATTGCATTGCCTGTTCCGGTCGTGCTCTCTCGCTAGAATGGGTTTTCTATTTGCGACAGAGCAACATGGGTTGTTTCTTTGTCGCCAGGCTGTTTTGCAGTTGTCGCAACAGTAGCTCTACCTGATCTTGTCGCGAAGCTGCGAACCCTGGCAACTATGAACTGAATTTTGAGGCCAGACATTCGGATGTTGACAGGTCGCATCTACCGAGGATGGTTTAGGCAAGAAATTTGAGTTCTCTCCTATCTTCTCTGAGCAATGGGCTTCCAAATGGCAGAGTCTCAAAAGTAGAAAAGGCTTTCGCAGACTTCTGCAAGTAAAGCAATGCAGCAAAGACTTGTTCCTTCTTCCGCATCAGGAACCTTCTCCCCTTGACGACAAGAACAATGTCTCGTCAGCAGAGTCCCGATGATTCTGGCTCCGACGACGTGGATGCTCCTATTCGCGACTCGTCTGCCACCACTTTGCAGCCCTTACAGCTAGAGCCTAGCTCAGCCCATGCCGACGATGGCAATCACGAGGAGGCCGATATGTGCAGCCCGAAAGAATTTGCCCGTCGTTTGGAAGTCGAAGCCCATGAACGCTATCTCAACGAGCAGATCCGCATAGAGCTGGAGACGCAAGAACGCGAGGCTATGTGGCATCGCCGAATGCAAGCCGAGAGTCTCAACAACCCCCAGACTTCCCAAGCACCATCCCAAACACCGCCTCTCGTCATCGGCGCACCGCTGGGCAAGAATCTCACCGTCTTAGAAGCCGCGCGCCGCCTCGTCGTTCAATGGGAAGCAATCCACGAGTCCACACTGTCGTCAAACCCAGATGCCGCCGGCCCCATCCTCGAAGGACTAACACAAGCCCGCACCCAACTCGATGCCCTCACAGCTCACCAACAACGGCATCACGGAGAAGAAGACACACACATTCCTCCCCTAGACCTAGACGAAGACTCAGCAACAACACCCCTAAACTCGCTCCAAGCATACAAGGACCAAGCCATCACCTCCAGAGTCAAATTCCTCACAGACTCCCTCTCAGACTCCTCCTTCCCGCCAGAGCGCGCCAACATCACCGCCGCAATCTCCCTCTACCGCGCCTCCCGCATCCCCTACTCGGCCAACTGGGCCCTCATCTACGCGGGCCAACTCGTCGACTTTGCGCCAACTTACGCCTCCTTCACTGCCGACCGCGCCGACCGCCTGGCCCGGTATAGCTGCCTCCACGGCAAAGGGTGGCTCTGGATCGAGCCGCCCCTGGCCCGCGATGCTGGCGGCGGCCCCTCACCCTTCTTCTCAGCGCGTAAGAGTACCTTTCTCCCGGAGACGGACTCGGCATACGACATGGGCCACTATAGCGTCACCATGTCGTTCCGCAGGATGAAGTCCCTCGCGTACTGTGGCGCGGAGCCGCTGCTGAGGAGCATGGCCGTGTCCAAGAAGAGGAAGCACGAGGAGCGTAACGACAACGACGAAGAAGCGGTGATGGTGAACTTGAAAGACTGGCCAGTCGTCGCCGAAAACCAAGAATACGACGACCTCGACGCCGCTTCAGACTCGGACCTGCCGCGCTTCCCTCCTCGCTGTGTCAGAAGGCCCAAATCGCCCGCGCCATCCTCCTCCTCCTCCTCCTCCTCCTATCGGGCAGGTATAAAACCCCCATCCGCCCTCCGCCGCAACCGCCCCTCGCGCCACCCACACATGGCCCGCGACCCGTCCGCGCCAACCCTCCACTTCCGCACCCTCCTCGACAGCGGCGCCACCTTGCCGATGCTCTACAACCGCGACGCCCGCGCTCTGGGCAGCGAGCGCGGCTCCTACGCCGCAGTCTCCCGCATCTCGATTGAGACGGCCTCGGACACGGTGGCGACCTGGCTGTACGAGATGGAAGTCGCCGTCGTGGACACGGTCACATGCGAGCCCCTCGTCTCAGCGTCGTCGCCCGTCTGGCCGGCGGAGCAGCCTATGCTCGGGGGTATCACGCTGGTGATGGTGCGCGGTTCACCCAAGGCCGGGTCGTTCACGTCGCCGAACGGGGAGGCGGGAGCGGTAGCCGAGACTAGCGAAGCCGGCAAGACGACGTTTCTGGAAAAGGCGACGAGTTTGGTTGATATCGCCGAGGGCCGCGATTACGGCCGGCTTTCTGGGCTTTTGCCGTTTAAAGTGTGTTATGTGCAGAGTACGCCTGGTCTGCGGACGATTTGGATGGGCGAGGACCGGCGCGATGTCTTGGGTGCGCATCGGATGCCTGGGCAGATGCGGTGGGCCCCAGGGACGGGGAAGGTGTGCGACCCGGGTCATCCAAGGGAGGTGTGGAAGACGGTCTGTCGAGATGATGAGGGGAGGCCCGCGGTGCTTCGTATGGAACATGAGGAGGCGGTGGTGGTCTCTGGTTATGGGGAGAAAGGGGCGAGTTTGGTTGATGTTGAGGAGAAAGGGTGGAAGGGACGGAGTGAGGTTACAGTCACGGATAAGAAGGGCGTCAGGGTGAGGCATGTCATTGAGCCTAGGACATTGGATTCGCAGCGAGAGAAGCAACGTAAGAAAGTTAGATTGTTTGTGTAGGTCTTTAGGTAAGTATTACGGAGAGTTTGATAAGTTGAGGCTGAAAGCGTCCATATCCCGTAACCCTCGTATATTCCGCTCAACATGAGGTACGACTTATTACCAGCGATGAAGACGACAGTGAAGCTGACGAAGCCTGGTCAAGACACACGCGAGGCTCAGTTTCGCAAGTCTCGACATGTTTTACCTCATCTTTCGGTGCCAGCTGAGAACTCTACTGTCGAACTAAGACTGGGAGTTTTGACATACTTGACTCTGTGCTACCAACTTTCAACTTACAAGACAATATCAAGACGAATACAAACATCTCGACCGCATCAAGTCCAAACCTCTCACCTCCAAGTTCCAAGATGACATGTGAAAACGCGGCTGGACGTCAAAAAACAGGCAGAATCTCGCATAACCATCTATCGAAAAACCACCTACCACCACACCCTATATCAAGCCCTCCAATATCTCTCCCCATCCCAATCACGAAATCTCGATCCCTTCAACATCGAATTCTCAAAACCAAGTTGAGCCAACCCCCCCTTCCCTCCTTTCCTGTCTTCCCATGATCCATGCCCATGAAGCATGTCAAAATCCCAAAACACCATTCCCAGTAAGAAGAAACAGCACCATCAAGACTTCTTGGATGATCCCAGCCTTCTCAAGGCAATAGCATAAAAAATAACCCAGAGACAAAAGTCCAATAAGATCAGACGAACGGGATCGAACCATGTGTGAAATATGGAAATACACATCAATCATCTCATCTCATCTCATCTCATCTCACACGCGTCCAACCCCGTAAAACGGTTCAGCACGGCTCTCATTCAACAACGAATATCCCCGTCCCGCAAAGTCTCTAAAGTCTCTCAACCTCCCAAAGATCCAAGGCCCGAAAAGGAGAGGAGTCCATAATCCGGGATCCCCCCCAAACCTTCCCGCCGTCACGCTCCGGCCGCCCCGGGTGGATTAGATTTTTTACTTCTGGATCCCGCGTCATGTCTATGATGTCCCGAATGTGACTCACCACCACCATTAACCTAACCTCGAATATCGCCACAAATTTTTCAAGCCGCAAACCCAGCGTTGATCCAGGACCAAAAAACGGTCGGTAGTCAATGAGAGGTCCAGGCTGAATACAAAGGATTCCCGAAGCGCACATCCCGCGCCACATAGCCAACGCATCACTCATTCAAAGTCACCCCCTTGCTTCCCCCCCCCCCCCCCCCAACCCCATTGCATAGAAGCCGTCAATGCGCAAACAATAATCCCGCTCTCTCGTCGCAGGGCGAACCCCCGACGACGTGAAAGGTGACAGAGAGAGAAAAAAAAGAAAAAGGGAGGTTGGGATCTTGAACATTGAAATGTCAAGGTGCGTTTACAGTATTCGTAACTATTCGCAACATTGTACGGATATCCTCTGGTTGTCCTTTCTGAGTCCAATACTGACAAGTGGGAAAGATAGTCCCAGGAATGATAAAACCATGACAATTCTCACCATTTGCAACACAGCCCATCGAATTCACGAGTAGTTTACGGATACGAAGGGCTTTTTTCAATCCTTACCTCAGCCAACCTTTTCAGAAGAAAACGCTCACCGACAAAAAAAAAAAAGGTCTCCCTGAGACATACGTTCCTTCCAACCGTTACACAAAAGGGAGAAACATCACCACCACCACCACCACTAGGTACCAACACCAAAGCAAACCCTAACAATCCCAACTCAAATCCCACGTATCCTCAAATCTCCAACCTCCCCTTTATCTTTCTACCAAGAATCCCAACCCAAGTAAGCCCATCCAGCAAACAAACCTCACAGACACCAGAAGCCAGGAAAAACCATGCCCCATGCCCCATGCACAGCTCACATCCCGACCCCCGGCCCCCCCCCCCCCAATTAAGCCCAATGGGAAAGTCTACAAGTACCTCCGTACCTTCCCATTTCCCTGCATTGAACGCCTTAGGTAATCTTGTACAAAAGTAACCTACCTTACCTTCCAACCAGGTATCTACTCCCACTCCTCCCCCCTAAAAAAGGCTTAGCCCCTCGCCTCGAATGTCTCTTCGCCATGTTCACTCCCAACCAAGCGAAAAATGTGCTAACTCATAAAAATTTCAGACGAAGATCAATCCAATCCAATCAAAGCAAGCTTTTTCCCAGGTTCAGATGAACATACACCTTACCTTAAGATTCTCCCGAGGAAAGCAGAGTGAACGATGGATTATCTACGCATTTTCATATAATCCACAACTGAAAGAAACCATCATGCCAAGAGTTGAACGTCGGTCCTACAGGAGGGCGGACACGTACCACCTACACCCAACTCAAGTAATAATCGCGTACGGAGTACTCCAACAAGCCCAACACACAAAAGTGACAAAAAACCCCCCATTCAACATCACTAGCATAATGAGTGACATGCCTTATCCCAACGCATAAGCCTATATCATCACAAAAAAGTCCAATAGTAGGCCTCCCGCCGCTCCATCCCGCGTGCAGCGGGAAAAACCACTAATGCAACAGCTATGATTAGTCCGGGAAGGGGGGGCAGGGGGATGGATGTGGGTGGGCAATTCATTTCCCATGTGGGCTTCCAGGGAGCTCGACCCTCCCCCACCATTGTGTGTAACCATCACGGACCGTGTCACACACAGAGGCCCAGCACCAGGCTACCAGCCAAGCCATATTCATATTCATCATTGAGAGACTTCATCACAGGACACAAACACAGAGACATGGCACGCAACAGTTGAGACCAGAGAATATGACGAAAAAGTAGCAGAGAATTTTTACTCTTTTTTTTGTGCCTTTGTACAACTACCTTACACATAAGGGAGTCCAAATGCGGGTATACGAAAGTCTCGAGGGCTCTCGCCCCCCAGCTGGGTAGGGGAAACCGTATCATGGTCGTCCCCCATTTCCTTCTCTCCATCCAGAAATTTCCTTCTGGTCATCGAAAGAGAAAAAAATCCAGCCTTGTCTCCAAAAGTAACGTGCGGACCAGAAACCGATTCCATGGGTATCCCTCTGTATTCTTTGTCGGCCAATTAGGGGATATCCGGCCGACAATGATCAAAGAAAAAGGAAACAATCTGTCCACCACTCTCGAAATGGTTGATTCCAAGGTGCGAAAAAAGCAAACCGGTCAGGAGGTGTTCGTGTGCTCAGTGGCCGCATGTTTCCCTTCCTTGAGCGAGTCCGAGAGTTCTTTTCCCATCTGGTTAAAGTCCATCGAGGTCCCACCAATCCGTCGAAAAAAATCCACTTTGCTTCTTTTTTTTTCCTTCCATCACGAATTCCCATTCGGGTCGAATCTCATCCTGAGACCCTACAATTTGACCTTCGCTGGTGTCCCTTCATTGGTTTGTTGTGAATGGGTCGGGGGTGTCGATATCTCGTCGCCCGGATCCAACTTCAATTACCGGGAAGGATGACCGCTGTGATTCCAATCCTTCACCCTTCCTGGGGTGACCATCTCGCGAACGTAAAAACTCTTCGTTGGGGTGTGTGTTGTGTATGTAATAAAAAGCCGCTGAATGCTGTTGAGGAAAAAAAAAATAACTCGGGGGTTGTTTGGGGTATGATCCGTATTCCTTTTTTTGGGACACTTCTGCTGAGTGAAAATGGACTTTGTTGCATAAAAATCAAATCGCTCGATGCCATGACGTGTTGATGAAAAAACCATTCTGTATGCATGCGGCAAACAATCTTTTTTTCCTTTTTAATCCACTTCTTGGGAGGTCGCTCAATTGCCCTGCCACGGGTATAATGAGGGGAAAGCTTCGATTGCCCGTATCGTAGCGTTGGTTCGCTGTGTGGGACTCCGCGGGGCGGACCGACAAGTCGGTCCCGGGTTCGACTCGTGTTAGTCGACGTTTAGGCCATGTGGTGGCCCGTCGTGTGTTGGTGTACAAAGGGGGCGTATTGCTGCTGCACTTGTTGTTGCGCATACGCCGCTGTGTCGGGTTGCGGCGTCGGGGTGACCGGACATCTCGGCGGCATAGGGTATGCGTCCTTGTTAACGGCTCCGTATGCGGCGCCATCGGGGGTGATGGGGGGAGTCATGTATCCTTCCACTACTCCTGCGACAGCTCCGTGGCCTTTGTGGGGGGTGCTGTAGATGTTTGAGTGTTTTGAGGCGGACTCAGAAGGCGGACTCGGAGGGACCCCCGACTGGGCTCGCGCGATGCTAGCTTGGTGAGCCATGAAGGACGCAAGCTTCTTGGCGACGCCAGAGAAGTGTGATGATGAGTACTTCCTCGCGAGGGCAACGGAGGGGCTGTGCAGGTGTTGAGAGAGAGTCAGCAGGGTAACGTTCTCAACGTGGTCCCACTCTCCATCGTTGATCTCGGGCTCGCCAAGGATTGCTCTTGCCAAGGCGAGAGATGAGCGAGCCATGATGGAAGGCTTGGTGGAGACGAAGTCGCGGTGGTACAGGGCAATCTCGCAGATGTAGGCGGCCATGTGCTCAACCTCGACCTTGTCATGCTCCTCAGCGACGATGAGCTGAGTGAAGAAGTCGACGGTGGGGTGACCAATGGTCCACTCGAGGGTGTTGAGGACGTGCATCTCCATCTGGGTGAACATGCCGGCGTCGTACAAGCCACAGCACATGTTGTTGAGCTCGTGGATCTGGGGCACACGGTCCTTCTTGTCACCGTACTTGGCGGCAATCAGGAGAGCGGCGCATCCGACAAGCTGGTAGTGTTGCTTGTAGACGACACGCTTTGAGCAGTACCGGTCGAGGAGGTTGACAGTAAGGAACAGAGTCTCGGGGAGGAGGGCGAAGGCGGCATGGGCTTCGATGAGAAAGTCGATGAGGTAGGGTCTCATATACCATTGGATCTCTCTTTGCATGTCGATGAGATTGGCATCAGGCATCGTCTCATCCTGAAGTCGGGTGTCAGTCAAGCTCAATCAAATCGAGACCAGTGTGGCTCCTTCCTCTCATTCTTACCTCCATGTGCCTCATGTGCTTCATGATATCCTCCAAGTACTCGTCACCAGCTATCCGGGAAAGCTCGCTGGCAATGATCTCCTGCCGTTGCCTCGCGATCATCTTGGCGGCGTCCCGAGTGCCCATTCGTGGCCGTTGGGGTTCGTCGTGGTCCTCTGTGAAGAAGGTAGGATCGGAGTGCTGCTGTTGTTGTTGGTAGTACGCCATTTTGAATTGTGATGTGAGACGAGGGCGGGTGTAAGGGGGGTTGGCTGACGGGTCGAAGTTCCGAAACGGGAAAGAATGACGATTAAGTTCTCCAGGAAGCTTTTTTTGGTGGTCGGAGACGGAAGGACGTGAAAAAAGAAACGGTTAAAAAAAAGAGGTCTTCAGAATCGGTGCTGTGAAAGAGTGGAATAGCAGAACCGAGAGATTA